TCACTGCGGCGAGAACGAGGCGAACATCACCTCGCACCGGACGTCCAGCGTCCGCAGGCGCTCCCCGGAGCCGGCGGACCAGAGCTTCGCCGTGCCGTCGTCCGAGGCGGTCAGCACCTCGTGCCCGTCTGGCGAGAAGACGCCGGAGTTCACCATTTTCTGGTGGCCCGCCAGTGTCACGAGGCACTCCCCAGAGCCGGCCGACCAGATCTTCGCCGTGCCGTCCGGCGAGGATGTCAGCACCTGGTGGGCCTACTTCGCACCACCACCACTGTAGAGACCAGGGGGGCTGACCTGTAGTAGCGCTCTGCTGTGCGAGGCGCCGTCTGCGCCTAGCAGAGCACTACCCTAGGTCAGCCACCAGTAGTGGTGGTGATGATGATAGAGGCCCACGAACTCCTCTTGCCCGTCTGGTGAGAACGCGGCGTAGATCGCCTCGCACTGCAGCGTCAGCAGGCACTCCCCAGAGCCAACGGACCAGATCTTTGCCGCGTTGCCGTGCGAAGAGGTCACCACCTGGTGCCCGTCTGGGGAGAACGCGGCAGACGTCAGGCCATCCTGATGGTCCTGCAGCGTCAACAAGCACTCCCCGGACCCTGCGGACCAGATCTTTGCCGTGCCGTCGTGCGAAGAGGTCACCACCTGACGCCCATCTAATGAGAACATGGCGGAGGTCACACAATCTCGGTGGCCCTCCAGTGTCAGCAGGCACTCTCCAGAGCCAGCGGACCAGATCTTCGCCGTGTTGTCTGCGCACGCAGTCACCACATGCTGCCCGCGAGGCGAAAATACTGCATCGAGCACCCAATCCTGGTGGCCCTGCAGCGTGAGCAAGCACTCCCCAGAGCCCGCCGACCAGATCTTCGCCAGGCCTTCCGCCGAAGAGGTCACCACCTGGTGCCCGTCCGGAGAGAACGCGGCGGAACTCAGGCCCGCCTGGCCCTGCAGCGTCAGCAGGCACTCCCCGGAGCCTGCGGATCCGGGCCCCGAAGCCGTGAGGAAGTCCACCGCCCGCGGAGCCGATGTCCCAGGACCCGAGGGAGCAGTGGAAATGGGCCTGGACCTTAGTGTGCCGTGGAAGCGACAGGGCCGTTGTTGTTACCGGTTCCGTTTCGCCGTTTTTGTTGCCCGTCCCGACGCCGTTTCTTTACCGGATCCGTCGCCGTTTTTGGACCGCTTCCGGCTCTGGCTCCCATCCTGGGGCCGTTTTTTGGTCGTTTCCGGTCGCTTTTTTGCCGTTTCCATTTTCAAGGGACATTTTTGTTGGAAACGGTGGACAAAACCGCCCTGCCGTTTCTGGGGCCCACAAAGGCCTGGACATGCTCGAGGCCTCCCAGATGGGGTCGAGGTAAGATGGGGGCGGAGGACCGCGCCAAACTCGTCGACGCATCACCGCTGCATCGGCGACGCATCGGCGATGCATCGGCGATGCATCGGCGACTGCAGCGTGGATGAACTCGGATTCCACGTCGAGCCGAATCGCCGATGCATCGGAGACGCGGCGCGATCCTCCGACCCATCCACTCCGACCCCATCGGGGGGCCCTGACAATTGGATGGCGGATTCCGGAAGCCCTGAACCCAAGAACGATTTCATCTCTTGGGGGCGCATCTTTTACTTCCGCCGCCTTCCACCGGCCTTCCTCCGGCGTCCGCCGGCGCAGGCGGCATCGCTTTACTTCCGCCGACCTTCCGCCGCCCTTCCGCCGTCTTCCGCCGAGGAAGAGATGACAACTCCTTCTATCCTCAGAAACGAGGCCCTTTTCGGAACGCCCCATGCGCCGAATACATAGGCACACCCACCGCCTCCGGAGGTCCAGGAAAGATCGGTTCCCCAAGCGCTGGAGAATCCCATAAACCCTGGCCTCGGATTTTTTCGCAACGTGGGCCCGCGTAGCTCTCGACCCCCCATTCGTGAAACCGGCCTCTCATCGTTTGCAAAAAGCCAGTCGTGGTCTTCTGGGGGGCCGAGAGATACCCACGCCGTCACTCCCCAAACCTCTCTCGGGGCGCGTGCTGACCGGAATCTCGGGGGACATCCAGCCGTGACTGCCACGGCGAGGGCCTGGCAGGAGGCCCAGGAGGGCGAGCACGAGGAAGGGTAGCAGTATCGGTGCCTTTCCCTGCTCTGACATGATCTCCTCACGACGCGAGGAACCACACAGAAACATAACGTTTCGCTTGCATGCGCGGGCAGCCTGCGGACCAGATCCTCGCCGCGCCGTCGGCGCCAGCGGTCACCACGCGCAGCGCCGCGGCCACGACCAGGGCGAGCTCGCTGTCGCCCTCGGCCCCGAGGTCCGCGAGCGTCGCGGCCCCGCGCAGCTCCACCTTTTCTCTGCGGGGCTAAGCGACACTTCTGTGCGAAATCTGACACTGGTCAATAGCAATCAGACCAGCACGAACAACAATATCAACGATACGAATCGCAGTCATACGACAGTAACGATACGAATAGCATCCATACTACGAATATACTGTTCGTGCTGCTACCAATCATATGAGTGGCCCCAGGGCGGTCCACAAGCTGCTCAGGATGAGAACCCGCTGGCAGAGGTCCAGACCCCTGGGGAAGGGCGCCGTGGGCAAAAAAAGCACGCCGTCGGGTGTCTGGGGCGTGGTGTGCGGGGCGGGAGGGGGGGCAAGCCGCCGACCACCTCAGGGGGATGCGAGAGAGGGCCTCTTCCACCCCTCCTCCTCCACTCCTTCATCCTGTTCCGACACCTCCTCCCTCTCTTCCTCGTCCACGTCCTTCTCTCTTCACCATTGCCATCCTTGTCATTCCTCCCGTCCGTCCGTCCTTCCTTCCTTCTCCACCTCCTCCTCCTCCGTTTCCACCTCTTCCTGATCCCAATGTTTTCCAAGTGCGGAGGGGAGGCGAACCCCACGTACTCGTATGATGATGGCTACCCTGCACACGGGGAGGGAGGACCAGGAGCAGGAGGAGTGAGGAAGAGGTGAATGAGATGATGTGAAGGAGGTGACCGTAAGGAGAGGTACGTTTTCTTGTCCAGAGGGAAGAGAAGCGAATCTCACTATTCCTGTGGACTTGACTGCCATGCAAAGAAGAGGAGGGGACTCAGGAGGAGGAAGACATGTGTCAGAAAAGGATTCACCATTACGGGGGTCACTGCCAAGAGCGGGAGGTAAGGAGAGGTCCAAAAAAATAAGGAGGCGAGGAGCGGAACAGTTGGGGGTCGCCCATCCGAGGAGATAGCATCTGATTCCCTGACTGGCTTCCGTTCCCAGCCAGGGCCCGCCGACTAGACGGCGATCATGAGGGGCATCTGAGGGGGAGAAGCAACAGCAGCAGAAGCAGCAGCAGCAGCAGCAGCAGCCAGCAGCCGCAACGGGAAGAGGCGAAGGCAGGAGGAGGATGAGGAGGAGGCGAAGGAGGAGGCGAAGGCGGAGGAGGAGCCCTCCTGGGCCCTGGCATGGTGCACGCGCCCTCCTGCCCGAGCGCGCCCTCCTGCCCGAGGCCGCGGGGGCCCCGTCGTCGCCCCTGGGGATCCCCAGGATGGCGCCGGCCGGGAACTCGTGGGCGGAGAAACAGATCCGCGTCCGCGGCCTCGCGGGCCAGGCCGCTGGGCCCAGGCCCTGCGGATACTTTTTTTGATTTGCGGCCCGCTAGGAAAAGTCCAGAGGGCGGTATGAGGCAAAGGGGCGCGATGCCAGAAGATTAACATGCAAAACCACTGAACGGATGCCAGCCCCTGCGGATACGCGGCGCGTACTTTGATGCGGATGCCCCGCGTGGAACGTATCCCTTCGACCGCGTATCCGCGGGAACGCGCCCCAGAGTCCAGGCCGCGAGGGCGCGGATACGGAGATGTTCGCCGCTCGCGAGGCACGGTGGTGTACGGGTGCCCTCTGCGGAAGGTGGAGGAGGCAGAAAACTGCGCAAGCAGTCGCTTTCGGAGGTCCGCGCTGGTTCCTCGGGCCGGCGCTGACCTACCTCCACTGGAGCGCGAAGCGCGCCAGAGGCGGTTCAGAAGGTGCCGCCAGGGGCGGGGGGGGGCTCCCTGGCTTCGGATCCATCGTACTTTGATTGACTGTCCGACTTTGAACTGCGTCGGGTACGCAGCCAAACGATGCGAACAGATCACGCGGAAATCCCCGCCTCAAGAAAGTAGGCCGCTTACTTCCGCGCAAGGGCATGGCAGAACCAGCGACGGCAACGTAGGGCGGACATCTGCACCAGAGGAGCGTTTGGAAAGAAGGGGGAGATCCCCGCCCGGCTCGCGAAAAATCGCCCAGAACTCGGCGGATCCGAAGCCCCTGGAGGGGGCGGGGCAGAAGCCGGCCCAGGCAGTCCGCGAGCGGACCTCCCCGAGCGGATGCTCACACACGCGCCACTGCATGCTCCTCGTCCCCCTCGGGAGGCGAGGCGGCCCACCTCCCCGAGGAACAGCCGCCTCCTGCGTGGGGGAGCAGGAGGGTACCGATGCCGCAGCGCCCCAGGCCTCGTCCGCGGTGCGCTCCGGCCGACGCGTCGAGGCAGATCGGGTCGTAGCGACGAGAAAGTGCCCAGGAGCCCACCAACAAAAACGGAATCGAGGGAGAGCCATCGAAATCTGCACGCCTTGTCTTCTGGTCCTGGGGGTCCTACAGCGGCCCGGCTCGGCGGCGAGCGAGGGGGGGAGGTGAGAATGAGAAGGCCTTCTCAGAAAACTCGGAAGTCCCCCGGCCTTCTGGGAAGTTTTCTAAGCCTCCCCCGAAGGCACCGAAAACTTCCTCCCCCCTCGCTCGTCGCCGATCTTAAGGGTCCCACAGCGTCTCGGCGACAGACCGTGCGGCGACCTCGAAACCCCAACTGACCTTCACACGGCTTCGGGACCTTGGAGACCCCGGCTGCCCGACACGCCCTCGGAGAACGGCACAAATAACACAACTTTGCGCTCACCCCGAACACCAGCTGGCCTGCCCGACGGTTTGGTCACTGCACCGTTTTGGGGTACCCGTCGCAGTGGAACAAAAACCAACATTAACACAACAACCTTCTGAACACCGCGCAGATCTCCCGGATCGGCGCCAGACCCCCCTCAGGAGAGGCGCCAAAGGCGCCGCCTGGGGGACCCATTGCATATCCGAGGAATCCGCGCGGAGCTCAAACTACTTATTGCGTTGATGGAACTTTTCTCCATCGATTCTGGCCGATTCTCGCGTCTCCGCCCGCCGGGTCCTGGACCCACAGGGTCTCCCCTTCATCCTGAGTCGTGGTTTAACGGTAGTGGGGCCCGTGGAGAGCCCTGGGGGGCCGACAACGGCAACAAAAACTGTTGGACCCGTTTCACCTCAGGACCCGTTTGCCTCACCGACAACCGCAGCTGTTGGGCAGGCGAATTTTCGTCTACAGTGACGACGTCCGCGGCGACGCCGACAGCAAGCAGTGCTCAAAATGGGTACGGACTGCTGCCAAACTTCGACCCCAATCTTTCCGTACCCATGACGATCGTACTGATCCACACTTTTCGGATGTCATACCCATCTCGGCGGCGAGCGAGGGGGGGAAGTGAGAAGGAAAAGGCCTTCTCAGAAGGCGGCGGAATTTTTCAGAAGCCCCTCGCGCCTTCTGGGAAGTCCTCTGCTCATTCGGGGAAGGCTTCCAAGAAACTTCTCGAAGGCTGGGGGACTTCCGAGCCTTCTCTGAGAAGGCCTTCTCCTTCTCGCCCCCCCCTGGGCTCGCCGCCACGACCCTTCCAAGGGGGGGGGCGCCTTTTCCCGCCTGGATGTCTAGAGCGGGAGAGGGGTGCGCCCCAGACTCTGGGCCCAGGCGCCCTACGCCGAGGCCCAGCAGGCGCGGGGAAAGGTCCAGGACGGGAGAAGGGTGCGCCCTTGACTTTGGGCCCGGGCGCCCTACGAAACTTTGGCCAGGCCGGCGCGGGGAAAGGTCTGGGACGGGAGAAGGGTGCGCCCTAGACTTTGGTCCCAGGCGCCCTGGACGTTGGCCCGGCCGGCGCGGGGGAAAGTCTATAGGGCGGGAGGAGGGCGCCCTCGACTCTTGGCCCGGGCGTCCTGGACGGCGGCTCAGCAGAAGTCCAGGGCGGGAGAGGGCGGAGGAGCGCCCCAGACTCTTGGCCCAGCGGCGGCAGGTGAGCGGCACAGGGGGGGAGGGGCCTGGGGACGCACTGTAGCACGAGGAGGCGCCATGAAATCCCGGGAGATCTCATGGCTCTGGCCACGATCTCCCCGAACATTTGGCCTCGACGTTTGGCCGTGGCCCACAGGCGGTGGCGGCGGCACCTCCACGTTGGTCAGCGCCCCGGATCTCGACCACGGGCCCTGGAGTCGGGAGCGGCCAAGAGGGGGGGTCCAAGAGGGGGGGGTGCAAATCATGACCCGCGGCACGTGCGCGGCGCATGGGGGGGGGGGGCCAGGGACGTAATGGAATAAGAAGAGGCGCCATGAGATCTGAGGAAATATCATGGCCCCCGCCATGATATCCACCCCCCATAGTCAGCACCCCCCTCTTTGCCGCCCCCGATGGAGGCCGCATCGAGGGAGAGCACCGGGCCTGAAGCAAGTAGCCACACCGTGGGAGGGCTGGGCCTGCGTCGCGGCGGCGGCGGGCCCTCGCGCCCCCGGCCTCCGCCATGGCAGGACCCGCGCGAGCACCCCCTGGCCCCTCGCCTCCCAGAGACCCAGGACCATCCTCAAGTCGGGCCTGTCCCCAAACGGGGGGATGGTGGACGAAAAATCAAAAGTACCCCAAAAGTATCCCCAAATGGTCAAACGTATGCAAACAAACAAAAAAAACATCGTCCCCAGGCTCTTCTTTGACTATTTTTGAGACTTCCCCCTGTAGAGGGACAGGCCCGACTTAAATGTAGCAGGCATGGCACATGGACACTCCTGGGGGGAGCCGCCCAGGAGCGTTGCACCGCACGGCCGGGCCGGGAACGCCAGGCGTGGAGAGGCACCCAGTTCTGGCGATCCCGGCGTCGAGCAGTCATGCTCCCGGAGCTGCTTCGCCCTCGGTGGAGCTGCTCCTTCTTCCTCGGCTCTTCCTCGCTCTTGCTCTCGCTCCGGCGTCCGCTCCCTCCTCCTCCTCCTCCTCCTCCTCCTCCTCCTCCTCCTCCTCCTCCTCCTCCTCCTCCTCCGTGCATTGTGTCGCCAGCAGAAGTCACACGTCCGGGCGGTGCCGCGCGTCCCCGCCCCCTGTCGGCGGGAAGATCCCCCCCCCCGCGGGCCGCCGCAGCGCGGCCGGCGGGCTCGGCGCTTCGATCGAGGGGGGCCCAGGGCCAGGGGGCGAGACCACAGCGGCGCCACAGCCCCGCCAGGACACCCCTCTGTGGAGGCCTTTCGGACTGGGCCGCATTGGTTGAGCGAGTTGCCTGTTTCAGGGGGGGGGGGGGGGGGCAAAGGTGGGGTTGGAGGGAAAATCGCCCTGGACGGCCCCTGGACGAAGTAAGCGCGTTACACGGGAGCAGCTGGCTGGGCCCGTTCCCCAGCCGCACCCTGGGATGACCCTCCCTCTGCGACCTCCCAACTTTTCCCCGGC